AATGCAATGTAAAATGCTACACTCAGTAGCGTCTGACGATGTCTGCCTTCTGGGTGTTTGATTTGTGTAGTTTGATAGAAACTAATCACCATTTCAGAGGTGATTGCCGCGTCCGTCGTCAGTTCGAAATCCAACCGTTATAATTCGACATTTAAACGTAACGCAGGCAAACGGAAACTTCCACCCATGGGCAATAAAAGAATTTTCCTGCTGCTGATTTATTCCATTCCATTGTTCATTACATTCTATTGTTTCATTTGTGCAAATCGTGGAGACCCCAAGCGGTGGGGTCAAGGAATAAAGTACGATATATCTCAGGATTAAGTAGGCTTATCCCCAGGCACGGACTGTTTAGCAGTGCGGAGTAAGACTGTGGTGCACCTCAATGTGATATTGGCTCAGTTATACAGTGAAAGCAGCATTTCTTAAAGATATTGATCTTTGAGCCATCTATATTTTTCGATATCCATTCTTTTTACGTCTTTATATTTGCCTTCCTGTTTATCTGTGTGTCTATGCATCTGTTTATTCACCTTATGTTAACCACCTTATCCATTTATCTACCTATCTATGAACCTATTTATCTTTCTATTTATGTGTCTACTTTCCTTTCTGTTAATTTGACTGTAGATCTGTCTTCCCTCTTATTTCATTTCATCCGAACTGTAACATTGGAGTGACGAAGCTTCCGTGTTTTAATTCTTACGTTTTTATACACCATCTGCTATATTTTATAAAATTTGTAAGAATGTAGGAAGCATCACATGTTCCTTTGATCTTCCAAATTAGAGGGATGTGACTTGTCCTAATATAAGTGGGAGGAAGCCTCATTTGTGAATTCTCTCCAATTCTCTGCGTGCCCCCGCATTCCACCTGGCGCCCATCAGCATTTCTCCCCCCTCCACGCCCGACAGCCGCGTCACCCCCTACAGGTTTTCCAAGGAAAGTAAGTGAAGACCCACTTGGTATTGACGTTGGCTCATCAATAATGTGTCATTCTCTCGAGTCTGCCTGTTACCACCCCCTCGGCTCCTACGGAACTCCACGTTTTGCTAAAGAGGGCACCGGAACATGCACTAGATTTTTCAGTTTAATTCTTAATTCCTTAATTCTTAAGTTGTATCCCATTGCATTGTTAGCCACTTGACGTGGCTGATAGCCCGAGAAGATTTTATTGAACTATTCTTTGTTTTAAAACTACTGAAAGTACTGCAGACCAACGTTATCACGGAAATTGCTATAAAAAGGAAGATTATTGAAGAAAGTCAAGATATTTATCTCAATATGATGTGTTCAATAAGTGTAATAAATTAAATAATTCGGTTAGTGTTTGATGATGATGAATTAATTAATACATGGACCAGAGTTCTTCTTGAGACTCTGGCAGTCACTTACCAAACCAAGACATTCGTCTTCTTTTCTTGCGGAACATGAAAGTTCATGGCTTCTTGCGTAATAACCTGTTCTGAGCCAGATGAATCCAGTCTATACCCTCACGTCTTGTGTCCTCAAGACCCATCTTAATGATAGCTTGTCACTTAGGTCTCGGTTCAATCAAATAAAATCGGCTATGGCGGGCAGTGACCTTTGCGTTTCAATCTTCCGGGTCACCGCACACACTGTGGAACTAATCAGCCTCTTACGCGATTCGATGCCACACCCCAGCCGCTTTTCCCCAGAGGAAATATAAAAATATATTTTTAGATGAATAGAATATTAAAGTACGAAATACATTGAACTGAGATCTGATGTTCGGATTAACGTTGGTAACAACCGTCTACAAGAACACAGCGCGTTACAACTCAGACGACAGCAGTGTAGTGAAATGGTGAAATGATTCAAGAACTTATCCAACGACAGACTTTTCTTATGAACCTTTGAGTTTCTATCTGAAAATAGATACTTCATCTTTTGAACTCGTACAAATTATTTACTAAGCATATTGTTCTGCGTAAGTTCGTGGAAGGAAAATGATTATGAGGGCACCGACCATAGGGGCACGGTGACAGGGTTATTTTCTGACTAGAATTACGAGGTTCCTTTTTTGAGATGTGGAAGTTGCCTAGCGCCTTCAGCCCGCAGGGGGTGCTCACTGCGTGCTGATATTTATGACGAGAATTCGGAAACACGTGGGAATAAATATAAGGGCTTCTTCCCCACTCTAAATAAACATGACAGTTAATGGCGCACATAATTCTTCTTCTTCTTCTTCTTCTTCTACTTCTTGTTGCTGCTGCTGTTCTCATTCTGAAGCGCGCCGTTCATCTACAAGGAAGATAGTAAATATCTCTTCATCAATGCACCACAGTCGGCCGGCTGGCTTCAACACGTGATCTAGTTACATAGGAACAGCTTTAAAGAAACAATGAATTCTGGGTAGAACTTAAGGATTTATAGCGTCTATTTTCGTCAAAATGCTTGTGTATATTTAATGAGATTAGTGTTAAATATAATTAAAAATTATACTTTTTATTTTTCGAATTGTAAAATTGTTCCTTTGAACTTCCCCTTCGTCTAAATTATGACGGATAAAACTAAGAACTTTCGGAAACTGGATTCGCCTATAGTATTCAAGTAAAGGGGGAGGACACGAGAGCCCGTCTGTTGGACTTTTGGCTGAGCTAGCCTCAGAACTGGACCTCAGGATATGGAGTAGTTTTATTTGACAATAGACAGAAAACTATTTTACCTGCTGTGTATTCTTATAATCCACGAAATCTCTGTACAGAAAATTTAGAAGGCACTAGGTGCATATTATTCGAAGATTTTCTGACGAAGTCGTATTTGTTTAGATGGTTAATTGAAGAAACAGTACTCATCGCCTTGATGATGGCAGAAGCAAGAGACCCCGAGCTGTTGGCAAACGTCATATTCGTACTTAGTGCCGTGAAAACCTGAAATCTCACACAGGCTGGGGGAGTTTGAAAATGGGGTGCTGAAAATATTTGGACCTAATAAAAGTGTCACAACGAGGAGGTTCGTAAATTTTACTCTTCGCCGTATTTGTTACGCTGATCAAATAAAGGAGGATGAAAACAGTTGGGTGTGTAGCAAATATGGCGGTGATAATAAATACTAACAAAATTTTGGAAAGAAAGAATCCACTCGGAAGTCCTAAGCGTGGATGGGATAGTAATACCACTGAATAGATCCAAAGGAAGTAGGTTGGAAGAATATGTAACGGATTTATGTGGCTCGGGATGTGGGCTGGTGACGGGCTATTGTAAACACTGCAATGATCAATTAGGTTCCATAAAAGTCACGAATTTATTGACCATCTGAGCGACCGTCAGCTTTATAATTTATTAAAGAGAGATAATAGTGATTAACAGACATAACAGACCTGATGACGTAAGCCTGTCTGTTCCTCTAAAATATCTTGTAGCAGTTTCAAAAAATGTTTCTGCTGTACCGTGGTAATTTGTGCCTGATCACTAGTAGGCCTACTTGTTCCTTTTCATAAGGTGAAAAATTAATAACAAGAGTTCAACATGATGTATTTTCACCTGTCATATTAACACGCTAATGCTTGTCTAGAACTAATTTAGAACACATATCATGAACATTCATTTCATACAGCTTGTTTAATTAAGCCCATTTTCAGCTAACTTTAACGGTTGGTTAAGAAGAGAAAAAGTCTAATAGATTTTAAAACTACAACAAAATTAATTTCATTCCTTGTTTTTCTCTTACTATCCATTGTGATTTGAGGAACCCGATTATAATCGAAGACAAGACCATTAACAGGTAACAGAAATATGTTCATTAGTCACTGATAAGGCAGTTTTCAATTACCATGATGGATCACCACGGTAGAATGATCTGTCATGTTTATTAGACCCTGAGATTAGATCCAAGGATACAGAACCGGTCCCACAGGATTCCGATCAGGTTAGTTCAGTGGTAACAATGTGTACCAGTATTCACGGGGCACGTGCTTATAATGTCGATTGGGACAGAGGCTTCCGTGCCTTTCCTCAGTGTCACCAGGAAAATGTCTGGATAGTTTCTTAAAACAGGCCACGGTAGGCTTTTCCAAATATGTATCTAACTGCTAACCATTTATTACCACATGCATCACTGGAAGACATACATGCATCTGCAGATGAAAGAACGGGACTCCGTGGAGCAAACGTGTTCTTACAGTTCATTCTCGAATGCTGGAGAAAATCTAGCTTCACCGATGTATATAAACAGCTGGAAGAATATTGTACTCTTAACACGAAGTACAAGTTGAGACATCTCAGTGTATCACGATCCCTGACACTAAGTTTCGATAGTGCGTGAACACCTCCCCCTCCCCCGTCCTAATTAGCAGACTCTTTGTTTGACTTGTCTAGTAGACGTAGCTGTTTAAACTAATCAAAATTATACGCATCATCAATTTGTTTAATCTTGCTCAGCTGATCATGACAGTACCAAATTTTATTGGACTGAAAGACCTTTACAAAATCGGAAGTGGGGCTTATTCTAAGCCATCTGTATTCAGTCTACACCCCAACACCCGATTCTTCTGACGTCAAGTTTAATAATGTCGAATCTACATTTCTCAAGCGTTCTCGTCCCTTGAAATTTCAATTAAACTGATTTGTGAATTTCAGTTTTCAAATAAGCATATCACGTACTTAGTTCGTGTCAATGTCTTCTAGTTCGAGGTCTTGTTCTACATGAAATAGATCAGTTAGGAAACGTGTGGGTAGAGGGAGAATAATATTAACACATATCTTAAAATTTGTGTTTGAGGATATGAACTAAATTCAAGTGATTCAGGGTAGGGTCAAATGGTGTGATTCTGAGAACATGATCCCTTAAAGCAGGGGACTGTTTCACCGACCCAGTAATTATTAACTCTTTAAGAAAATTCCTATACTACAATGTGAAATGGTGTTTCCCTGAGGAAAACCACGAACAAACTCAGTGACGATAACCAGGCGCCGTGCTGATATTCGAACCGATACACTTTGAGTACGAGGCAGTTCGACACGATACGATGCGACGTACTACACACTTCGCGGAACGCGAAACAAATTATGCAATGCATCCTTCACTTCATAACAGCGTAAGTGGTCTTCCGAAGAGCCGTAGAAATCTGAATGCGATCGTGAACTGACCACGCTGCAAGGTCCGTCCCGCATTCTTGCCAGCATTCCGGGCTCAGTGTGTGGTAACTCACTCCCTGCTCTCCCTTCATCGTCGTCGTGGAGGAAGGAAGTGGCTGCTACGGTCCCCTGTCGACTCACGACTTTGACCCTCACTTGACCCCCTGGAGGGCTCCTGGGGAGGCACCACATGCTGGAAAAGAAAGACTATCTTTTGCTATATGCCTAGGTATATAGGAGAGAGACAGTTGGCTTCTTATCGTAATACTAGGACTCATAGATTGTCTAGTCTATTTGTTTAAACTTTGACACAAGCGGCTGGAGACTTCCAGGACTGAAAAAAGGATATGGGATAGTCTAGTGTACGTTGAATATCCACCCGCGATTACATAACTTACAAGCATGTCTTCAGTCTCAGAGGATTCTTTTCTGGCTTGTAAGTATTCCTGTTCCCTTGCATTAGTTCGTGGGCTTGAAGCAGAACGTACCAGCGGCCGAGACAAAACTGCACATAGTGGATGGACTGCTGGAGCACGATTCGAGATATGGTTGGCATTTCTGTCTTCCTCATTCACCCTATTTCGGTTGGTACATGGGACTGTTTTCCAGGCGGCCGGAGCTCGAAGCAGATCACTGATTTCCTATCTAATACTTCAGTGATATTAGAAGCAAGTTTTATTTTGCGAGATATGAGTTTCTCACGGAGGCGAGTTTGAAGATGGTTGTCTTCTGGGTTGGGATCGCCCTGGATGCCCTGATGACGAGGCAGCAGGCATCTCTGAAACTTAGTAAACTGTAACAGACTACACGGCGCAGCAACCTAGAAGACAGAGAACTTCAAGTTTTGTTTCAGCCCCTAATGAATTAATGAGGGGCGAATAACAGGTTAAGATGATATAAACTTTCTTCCTGTGACTCGTGAATTTCTTTGTGTTTTGTATATTAATATAGACTTCTCTAATGCGTTCACAGATCTGCTGTTCAAAATACAATTCCTGCTCAATAGGAAGATGCATGAGTTATATGAGACATACATAATTACATACAATTATCCAAATAAATGCGTAATATTCAGATTCTTACGCGATAAGCCATTTTTTTTATACTAAATCACTAAACTGTTCCTTTAAAGCTTCATATAATGTGTGGGTTATATAGAACCGATAAAACTCAATACTTGCTTTTACGAATTTTAATATCTAGTACAAAATTTTTCCTCTAATTCATTCTATGATCTCGTAGTATTAACTTGCAGACGGACACAACTCCTTTGTTTGCTTTCACTTTATGCATGCATAGGTCTAATAACTGAACACAGGGAAGTGAGTTTTTAAGTATTTTATAAATGTCAGCCCTGTAAGCTCCCCTCCTCCCCTACTACACCGTTCTACCGAAATGAATGTAACTGACCTATCATTGTGGTTTGTAGCAGCCAGCACCCCCTCCCCCCCACAGGGCAGATGCGGACAGGATAGAGTTCTCTCCTGGCACATAAAATACTCTACAGATGAAATACCACAGTAAGAGCTGTTGAGGTGGAACGAAGGTAAAACATGGAGATAAAATATAGAAGTATATAATAAAAAGAGAATAAGACAACAAGTCGAAGAGGCAACAGTGCGAATAGAATATACAAATGGGCATTCAAAAATTATTGTTATGCTCGCCTCTCGACGGGTTATCGGATGCACCAGACCTCTAAGCTACTAGCACCAAGTTCGTTCCATAAATTTATTTGAATCATTTCCAGGCAGAATAAGAAGTGAAACAATATATTTCTCCGCGTTTCCTCCATGTTTATTTAAAGACATAACGTGTTACAATGCTCACAATATTTTGTGTATTTATCGCTGGCTCGCTTATGAATAGATTAAAGGTATTCATGGTTTCTAATGTGTCTTTATGTCTCATCGTGTGTGCACTGAGGACGATAATTTAACAATGACTCGCTCCCATATTGAATACCTGATCACATTGCGTGTTGACTGACATTCAGAATATCAGCGTCGTTTGTTCCGTGCTATTGCCACCGTGAGAAGGAAAAGTAGAACAATGAACGGCACTAGGCCCAGCTAATTCGCATTTTTTTTAAAGCTGTTACAATCAGGCGGCTCTGTCGATCAACCGAAAGTTTAACACTTCTGGTACCTGACTGAGTGACCGATTGGCTGGTCCAGACTCAGTTACTGCCTTTCTGATAAGCTGATTGACTACTTGACAGATTAAATATACGAGTAACTGATTGAACTGTGTATTATTTATTTGACTAAATCACCGACTCGCTAAGTAAATATCAGACTGACCAACTGTCTCGTAGCAGAATCCGAAAACTGAGCACCATTAACACCAAAGACCGCCTGTGGACATAATTTCAGTCATTCCAGGCAAATTCTGGGATTGTAAGTTAAATTAGGCCACGACCGCTTGCTTCAAGATCCATTCCACTTCATTGTTCATTAATCATCGAATCATTCAACGTTGTACAGCCAGAACTTTCGTCTTCTGTCTTCAGACCTGTCTGCTTTCTATATAATTTCCCGACTTTTCCCTTTGTTTCGTTGTTGTTCGACTTGTTGTCGTCGTTTGAACTTTATCGAATGTAAACCATTCAGAAAACCGCGCGAACTGTTTGGGCTTCTTCAAAATATGTTTGTTGCTTTGCACCCTCCTCTTTTATAAGATATTGTAGGTGCGTCATATTGTGATTTTATTAAAAAATAGTATTAAAATATATTAAAATTGTCCGTCAATCACAATAAAGTAATATAAGATAATTAAATGGTTAAAATATTATCCTTTGTTCCGTATCGAGTACTCGATTTACATATGGAACATTCTCGACATGTTTCGGCTTTCATAGAGCCGTCATCAGGTGTATGTTATAAACTCTTAATTCAATTACTAATTTTTAATTTTCTTATCATTTCTTCGTTTTTCATTGTATCAATTTACAATTTCGATATTACATTATATTATGAAGTACATCGTATCGGAGCGAGGTTGGTTATTGACTGCGGTGTTAGTGGGTGAAAGGCGGTTTGTCAGGGTTGGGGTCAAGGTACTGGAGTGCATTAAAAATGGGGTTGTTAAGCAAAATGTTATTATCATTAAGGCATATGTTTTGTTTATAAGTTTGATATATGTGATATTTTTCTATTGTATCTCTGTGTCTTTTGTTTTTTACTATTTTTAATATGTCCATTGTTTCATCAATTGTGTTGTAAGCATGTCCTGTATTGAGAATGTGTTTAGAGTATGCAGAACTATCTTTATTGTGTTTTATGGCTGCTCTTTATTCAAAATTTATTTAGTCTTACTTCGAGACATTTCGATTTTTCGAACATTGAAAGTTTTGGAATTCATCCACTTCAGCTTATTTCCGCATCTTTTCTTAATTATCGTTTCCCTTTTTGCAGCAGTGCATATCTAAATGTTCCTCTTTGTAAAGAGGCTAGTTTTGAGATATTTAAAATTATCAGAATATTTAGAGATGTTCAGATTCTCTCAGCGTGTTATAAATATTTACAAATTTCTAGTCTTTTTTATTTTATAAATCATTAGAAACTTCCGAATGTTTTTCAAATTTTTTTAATCTTGTAATATTCTGGGTTATTTCTATAACTGTCAGATTTCTATCGAAATATTCAGAAGTCTTAATTTTTATGTTGTATCAGGTTTTTAACTTTTAAATCCTAATTAACTTTATCTCTTATTTCCTGTGACGTTGTCCACATGATTCAGACATACTTTATTTCACTTTTGACATTTTGATATTTTTGTGTTTTTTATCGTTTGACTTTGCTGGTATATTTTACCTCTGACTCTTTATTCCGTACAACCATTCTTTATCTTTCTCAGACTGCTTTAACGTCCTTGGTGTTTTCAACATATTTGACATTTTGTTATGACATTGAGTTGTTGATATGTTGTTACTTGTACATTTACTTTGTTTTCGTCATCCGACGACAGTTTCTGTGCAGCATACTTCGTATCTTACGTACTTTCACTTCCATCACAGCCGGTTTAAGAATAGTCAGTCAAATTATTAAGTTGCGTGGCGTATAAAAAATTTCAAATTATAATTAAATTAAAGTAGCTTAAATGAAATCAATAATAAAATTGTGGGGATTATTTATGGTATCAAACGAAATTGATTTAGGTAACCGATGAATGCATTTCTAAAGCAACGTCGTATAGACAACTATTAATAACACAAGGACTAAGTGTAATAGAAAACTAAGTGTTCAATAAAATTTTGAATCTTACAAGCAAAAAATAACGAAGATATGTATATTGAAGTTCTTCATAATTTGTATTTTTCTTGAAATATTATTAGGGTGAGTAAACCTAGGGAGACTGGACGGGCGGGCATACAGCGCGCATAAGAAAATGAGAAACGAATACAATATTCTATTCAGGAACCTAAAGGGAAAAGTACCACTTGGATGATTAAGACGTGGATAGAAACATGATATTAAATATTTAAAGACATATGATGTTAAGATAACTATCTTCTAGATCTTACGCCGTATAATCTGGTAGATATTGACGGACGCTTCAGAGGCAGTAGGAACTTCTGAACCATCGATTAATTTCTAGTAAGACTACACGGCGTAACATCTCAGAAGACAGCCATCTTCATACTCGTAACCGTTAGGATCTGAAATATTACATTAGCTTTAACTTGCTCTACATATAGACCAGTGGCGTCCCCTTGTGTAATACGGAAATAAATTTTGTTGTTCCGGTAATATTTTGAACATGTTAGCAATTATCTGCTTTTCGAGAATGATTATACTCTTCGGAATTAGCCGTATTTTGATGGTGATAATAACAAAAACAATATGACCCCTGATTTAGACGAGGTCCAACATTCTTGCAAACTAAATGATTTTAGTATTAGCCAAGCCTTCTACGTGCCCGTTACAACTGTCACAGACCTCCGATAGTGTTTACAGTTTGTCTTCTCTCAGACGTTGACGTAAGATAGGAACCAGAATTTTGAGCCCTGTTGTGTCTCTGACTCTGACCATTGTTCATTCAGGTGGCCTGAGTTTTAATCACTCAGTCATATAATAAGTGAGTAAGATTTGAGGTTTTCACGGCGGTAAGTATGAAGATTTCTGTCTTCTGTGCTGTTGCGCTGTGTAGTCTGGTCGATGTTTACCAACGTTTCAGAGGTCATACTGCCTCCGTCATCAGGGCGATTCAGCAACAACCCAGAAGACAGAAATCTTCAAGTGAGTAACACTTTATGCAGTGTCCGCCCTGCAACATCTGCAGGTTCCATCTTGGAAAGTCTGCCCCGTCCGTCCGATATGAACGGGACACCCTCGGTCAAGTCACCTGCAAAACTGACTCACGCGCACACTCGGTACAACCAGAAAAAGTTTGGGACGTAGACTTCACATCTTCAAGTGTCGTGTCCCGTGGTGGGCTTTAGTATTAACAGTGTTTAACCCTTTAAAGACCAATGGTAATTATACGTACAACCAGGTATAATAATCAGTATCTTTCACGCTGAACACAATGTATTTATGGGTTTGCTTATTTATTATGATGTAAACGTAAACAGCTCCCCTAAACAAAATTCATGATTTTTTTAGTTTGTAATGGAGAGGCGTTCTGTTTCCCTTGTAGTAGGAGCTGAGTTTTTTTTAAGAATATCCAGACTGGAATAGGAGAGAGTGAATCAAGAAATGAAGATCTCACCAGCTAAACGTCTTCACTATCATTCTGTCATCACCAGAAGGAACAGAGGGCATTGCCTTGGGACCTCGTAACAAAAGATGTTTTCTCACACACTCTCCGCCGTGAAAACCTGAAATCTCACAAATTTAATAGTTTAACCATTTTCATATCTGCGGACATTTGCTTACTCACGG